CCTCTATTAGTAACAGCGCCAAACAGAGTCCTGGTCCTTATAATGAGATCGCCGCAAATGTGCCTGATAACCCATGAGGCCTTTTTGACATCAGAGGTTAATTCATAGCCCTTTAAACGGCAGCTGAGTTGCGGAACAAAGGCTTGAGGTCCATCATTTCTCTTCTCTCGTGGCCGTTCCGTGTCAGGATAGGACTGTGAGGTTTTCGACCGGGATGTCCCGCGAAGTATGTTTTTTAATCTGCTCTTCACCCACCCCCTGGTGACTTTGTGACATTCTACATAACAGAATCCAAGACGTAGAACACCTTTTTAGCACCAAAAGTTTCTAGGACGGCAGGCATTAAATGGCTGCTCGATGAGAAGCATTCATTATCAACTTCCGTCAAGCGGTCCTCGTTTTACAAAGTCTGCCATAATAAGAGCCCACAATTTCGTCTACAGTGTTCCAGTTGAGTAGAATGAGTGAAATTCATCCTCCTAGTTGGAATTCAATTGTTATTTCGCATGTGGCGTGTGTGAAGCCTATCATGCACTGCCAAGGCCCGCTGTGCTAGAAACAGCCGTTGCTGGGAGCTCAGAGGATTTACACAGCTGCCGTATATCGATTATTATGTACCATCCAGCGCAGCTGGTGTGATGTTGCACTGTATTTTAAATGTTGATGGTAGATTTGAATAGAACAATTATACCGTACCTCAGCTCAAGCTTACAGACGCACAAGATTCTCTATCTGATATTGGCGATCTAAGAAATACTGACCATATTTTGAGGGTTTGGTATAGATGGAGACATCTGCCGACTGACAGGCAACAGAAGAATTATGACCGCCAGAGGCTTGCCACGGGTGAGCCACAGATATTTACACAAGGCCACGAAATCGAATCTATCGGAAAGCGGACTTGGAGCGAGTAAATAACAAAAGGAACGGACAATCACTAATCCAGGGGTAGGAATGTTATTAACATGTTGGTCTGCGTACGCCGGGGTTTCAGGATCTAATGTTTGATAATTTATCTTAAAAAACTCTTGACCACAGGCTGTATCAGTGAATAAGGGTGGTTTTGTTGCGAGTGCCAAATTTTTGAAGCTTTCATTTGAACCCAAAGCAAATGGTAAACTAGAACGCTGCCGAGAGTGCTTTCATTAACTTCACATCCAAACCGTGCCTGCTTGCCAGAAGAATGCCTTTAAAAATTTCCACTCCGCACAAAAGCAGAAGTACAAACATGTGGTTCTCTTGGAAAGTCCAGTAGGGCACGGTTATGTGACAGAATATTTTTCAATGCACGTTCCGGCGTTAAAACATCCTCAAAGAGGATACGCTATCATGGTAATGTTTTGCAAGGTTAGTTGTCCGGTCACACTTGCGTACTTCATAAACGGAGGCCTTGACACCGGTGATTAGTCTAATTACGTATCACACTCGGATCACACTGTAACATTATTGCACTACCGGATTCCGGTCCCTGGCGTTTTCAGGGAATCTTCGCTCTTCGCGATAATCATTTGTCCAATTTTGCTGTAGCACTCGGGCAAAAGAGCCTCACGGATGAGAGATGGTTAGTTTCTCACATGGGATAGGAGTCAGCGATCGATATCACGTACCACAGTTCAGCATTTTCACCATTTTTGATGAATTCAATATGGGCAAATCTTCATAGAATATGTAGGACAAAGATGTGGTCATTGGACTGTACTTGGATGAATCATTTGGATAAGCCCGAACGCATTCGAATATATTTATTCGCATCAGGCAGATGCCAGGCAGTCGAAGCCCTGGTGGGAATTTCATCAGATTCCATAGTTCCCTCGGTTATGTTACGAGGTAGAACGAGTCATTGTGAAATTCACATGATTCTCAAAAGCATTTGTCGTATGCGCTTGTCGCTCTTAAGGCATTTCACCATTCACAGCGACATTAATACGAGCGAACAGAGATTCATTTCGACGAAAACCAGGGCCTCTCCAGTGGGAATTTTCAAAGGCGACGTTTCTGGCCGCAGGCTATTGACACACCCAAATTAAGTTCGCCGAAACTATAGGGTTTTCGAAG